AAAATACAAAGATTTGGTTGTTTCACTCAAAACTGGTGTCTTTATTGGGAGTACAGGGAAGGAAGGGGTTGTGGTGGGAAATAGGGGGGGATAGCACAGGCCCCTACTGGGGAAGCCCTGGGGAGAGTTACTGGGCTCCTTCAGAGAGACTCTCCCTCTGGGCCTCCCGGATGTGCACCCCGGCCTGATGTGCCTGGTGGATAGCAGCTGTCTGCAGCTGCTCAAAGGCCTTCCCTTCATGGGCAGCCTCTGCCCCCCACCCAAGGAGGAAGGCCTCCCTCTTTCTCTCCACGGTGTTGTGGAGAACACAACACACCGCGACCATCTTGGGGATGTTGTGCTCCCTCAAGTCAAGGTGGGTCAGGAGGCACCTGAACCGCACCTTCAGGTGCCTGAAGGCGAATTCCACTTGCATGTGGGCTGGGTTGAGGTGTGCATTGAATTGTTTGCTGCTAGGGTCCAGGTGGTTGTGGTAGGGCTTCGTGAGCCATGGCATGAGTGGGTGAGCTGCATCTCCAATGATGCCCCCAAAAGTGGGGCCAAAGCCTGAGCCTGCTCGAGCCATGTCACCCTGGGCAGAGGGCCAGAGCCCCATCAGGAGGAGAGAGGCCAAAACTGGAGCCCAAAGTCTTCGGCCCCAGGCAGAGTGCCTTCGTGCTTTGGCTTCAACCTGCGCTGGGGGGCTTTTGGGTTTTGGCTTTAGTCCTGGGCCCCAGCAAATCTAATGACAGCCATGGTTACAGCATTGAAATGGAGTCATGACCCACTTTGTGGTCAAAGCCGCCAGTTTGAAAACCACTGTCCTAAAGTATGGGAATGTGAGGAAGGAAATTTAGCTTGGCCTCTTTCTCGCTCCGGAGGGAAAGGGAGACAGAGATGCTGGGATCGTGTGCCAGATTGGGAGGTGGAAGAGACGTTCTGAGGGAGAAGCCCAGCCTAGCTTGGCTCTCTCACAGATTCCCCTGCGTTCCCTAGTCACAGCTTCTGGCAGCTCCCAAACATTCCCAGCAAAATGACTGCTGTTGCCTTGGCAGAAACACAGGCCAGATCTAGTGATCTTTGGGAGGAAAATTAAATTTTCTGGGGGGAGAAAAATAGTGATTTTTAACACTTTTCAACTCTATTGTATCCAAATGGAATGTCATGGGACAAAGAAAAAGTGCATCTATTGTTTCTGGAGTTTTCCATGAAGGATATGATAGGTCTGCTGCAAACAATGGTGGTATTAATACTTATGAAAGAATGTTACAAGAATACTTTATAGTGGGAAGCTAATAAAAGATGTTTTGAGTGATTGGAGAAACCTAACTGATTACAAATATGGTGCCTACAAAGTCTTCAGGTCTGCATCATCAGGCTTGATTGGCCTCCTTAGAAGGTATAATGATGATAAAACCATTTATGATGGCTTTTATGGAGCATTCAGTTCATTTTTTCCCCATAGTTGCTAATTTTTCAAAAATAGCAGAGTTAAATACAGGGTTGCCCAACTGTCTAATTGCCTTGTCTCTTCTTTGGGCCCCACCCCCTGCTTGCTCCATCCCTGCTTCCTCCTTTGCTCATTCTCTCCCATTCTCCCTCACTTTCACTGGGCAAGAGGGATTTGGAGTATAGTAGTATAGTAGGGGTCTTTGACAGTGTTCCCTTTTAATTTTTTCCATCCATGGGCAGAATAGATGTTTTTATGTGCACCAAGGCATGTGTGGATGTGTGCCACCAGTAGAAACACATGCTGCTAGGGGACAGGCACTGTGATAATTAGCTGGGTGGCACCTGAATCTCCCCTGAGTAGCTGCCCATGCATTCAGCTTACAGGGAACACAGGTCTCCACGCTGTAGGGGGTGGACTTCCGGGGTGGTTGATTAAACCAGCTTGGGGTATTGTCTTGGGATGGGACCAGAAATGAGGGATTCATGGTATGGGAGAGGACTCTAGATTAGGGTTCATGGGGATGGGAGCTCTCGCTGGTGGGGTCTGGGTAAGGACGCCAACCCTCCAGGATTGGTCTGGAGTCTCCCAGAATCAGCATTAATCTCCTGGTGACCTGAAATCAATCCTGAAGATTTTAATAAGATATTTTAAGAAAACGACATTACGTCATATGGGGGGGAGGGGAGGAAATCTGCCAGAATAGCTCCTGTCAAAGTTGGCAACCCTAGCTCTATGGTGGGGCTGTGTATGAGGGGGTTGAGGTGAAAGGGGGGACTCCAGGCTGGGGCAAGGGGCTGGGGCATGGGGTTTGGGCAGCTAGGGAGGCTCTGTGTGCTGCTCTCCTGCCTACAGGCATCACCCCTGCAGCTCCAATTGGTTGGGGTTCATGGCCAGTGGGAGCTGCAGATTCAACACTTGTGGGGTGGGAGAGTAAGGCACCTCTCTGTCTGCCTTAGTCCCATGCCTCTGCTGTGTCACGGAGCAGACTTTTAACAGCCCTGTTGGCAGTGTCAACCAAAGACACCAGGATCCCTTTCCTATGGGGCATTTTGGTCAAAAACAGGACACTGGCAACCCTAGTGAAGTATATTCCTTTCTCTCAGTTCATCTTGAGTCATAGCTTGGGTTGCCAATTTTGGTTGGACATATTCCTAGAGACTTTATCACATGATGAAATAATTTTAATTAAAGAGTAATCTTTAGTTCCTGGAGACTCCAAGACAGTCCTAGAGGATTGACAACCCTACATGTAGTGAATGCAATATGCCTGGAGTTTTTAGTCCAGTTTTCTTTTTCCGATACTGGGTCAGAAAGGAACTTTAGTCATTTACATCAGCTAATGCAGAGGTGGGGAATTTTTTTTGGGTTGGGGGCCACTGTTCCACAACAAAATCAGTTGGGAGCAACACACACAAGAAGCAAAAAAAAAAAAACCCACCTTCACTGACTTGCCCCCCAGAAGAGAAATAGGGGGGGAAAATACCTCACCCTCCTCAGTCTCTAGCCCCAAAAGGTGGGGGGAAGTGCCGAGGCTCAGGCTTTACCCCAGGACCAGATTAACTCTTCTGGGAGCCTGAGACTAATAGATTTTTTAGGACCTCCCTAAACTCTCGGGTGAGGCCAGAGATGAGGGATTCAGTGTCCAGAAGGCAGCTGTCGGGGAACAAGCTTAGGGGTAGGAGTATAAGGTCTCAGCAGGAGGGAAGGTACAGGAGCGGGGTGGGGGTGCAGGGTCTGGTTGGGAGGGTGCAGGGGATTGGGTGCCTGGCACAACTCCCAGGGGGCACTGTCATTTTTGTACAGCTGTGTGCTGCAGGCACCTCCTTCCCCCATTGCCAGCCAGTGGGGGCAAGAGAGGACAGTGCCTGCAGGGAGCGCTACCTCCTCCTTGCCAGGAAGAGTCTGCAGACCAATGTGGCCCATGGCTTGTCTTGATTGGGCCCAATGGCTTGGAACTCCTCCTCCCTCTGCCCCATAGCGGAGAGCCAGCTCTCGCACTCCAGCCACAGCGCTCCATGTGTGACGAGAGCACCAATGCCAGCTCACGCTGCTGCCGGGTTCCCCATCCCTGAGCTAGTGATTTGACCCACTGTGCACTGACAAAAAGGGGATAAGGCTCCTATCTTGGTGGCGGTGTTGCTGGATGCAGGTACAGGCAGTCCCCAGGTTACGTACAAGATAGGGACTGTAGGTTTGTTCTTAAGTTGAATTTGTATGTAAGTCGGAACTGGTACATATTGTAGGGGAAACTCTAGCCAAACATTTCTCCAGAGCTCAGCTTTATTCTCCCACACCTCACTTCCCTCAGGCCTTTATTCTCAAGCTGAGGTGTCTGCTAAGAAAATCCGCTCCGCGTCTCCCTAGTCTGCTGGGGGGGGAGGGGGTGCTAGCTTCGCGTCTCCCTGGTCTGCTGGGGGGAAGCAGCTAGTGCGGGGTTGCCTCACCCCGTTTGTAACTAGGGATCCAATGTAAGTCGGATCCATGTAACCCGGGGACTGCCTGTAATTGTAATTGCCACCTCTCTTGGGGGGAAGGTACTAAAGTGTGTCTTCAGGCTGATGGGATGATTAGGGGTCTGCTCGAGGTGTCTTGTCTAATTCTAGTCAGCCATTTTCTTGAGGGTGTGGAATAAGAGGGAAATTTGCAGTTGATAAGGAGTGTTGAGAAAGAGGAAAAGGCTGGTGACCGTGTGCTGAGTGGGCAGCATGTGATGAGAGAGAGAGAGGGAAAACAAATGTGGGTGGAAGGCTGCAGAAAAAGGTAGCTGCTGCTTAGCTGGGATTGTGTCTGCCACCCCTCACTCCTGCTGCTGTATGGTCTGCCTACACTTCAGGGCCATCTGCACCCTAGAGTCCCACTTATAAGCATGCCTGCCCCCCAGGATATCTGGGAGGCTGAATTAGAACTTCAGCACTCTGATAGCCTAGCCATGTACTCTCTGAGTGCTTAGTGTTATGCACACAAGCTTTTGTTACAGGGTGTTTGCTTTAAAGTTATTTAACACTTGGAGAAGTAGTGAGGTCAGAAATATAGTTCAGTCAGTTGAATTTGAGTAATGCTCAGCTGACACACATCTCCTGTATGCATTGTATTTCTAATTACTGCCTGCATATTTTAAACATTCTCTAATTCTTTGAAATAAAGCTTTTCTTCTGCTAATTTGCTGTCTTATTTTTCTAGCATTTTAGAAGCTGAATATAAATCTTTGTAGAAAAGCACTTTATTTTCCCTCTTGTTTATCTGTCTTTGTTCTTTATGTTTTGAATACACTATTCTTTTAAATTTTCTTGTGCATTTACAATTGCTGTTGAGTTTATAGGTTATAAAAGCAATGAGTTTTCATTGTTAGAAAGTTGAATGAGCTCATAATAGAGAAAGCATCAGAGACTGGTAATGTGTTCCATAGGTATGTGCTTGTGTCACGTTAGTGCATATTTCTTGATTTAGCTGTTCTGGCTGAGCCACTGATTCTGTTCTCTGACAGCTCAGACATATGCTACTTAAAGCAAACTTGCTTTATTTTTAGATGCTGCTTTTTCTAACGTGTTAATTCATTTTGTCTGCACAGAGACTTCGCTTATGTAGCAAGAGACAAAGACACGAGGATTTTGAAATGTCATGTGTTTCGATGTGACACGCCTGCAAAAGCCATTGCAACAAGTCTGCACGAGATCTGCTCTAAGGCAAGTGGATTATAACCACTCATTCATTAACCTCACGAATGGTTCTTAGAACTGCTACTGTAATCAGCTGTCTAAATCCATAGTTCCCAGCTATTAGTCCCTGAACCGGTGATGGGCTGCGAACCTGTCTGCCAGGCTGTGGCACTCTGCCAGGCCACGCGTCCAGCTGCGGTGAGTGGCGCTGGGACTGCCCCAGTGTGCTGTGGCTGGAGCTGGGCCACAGGGAAGCTGTCACTGCTTGGGCAGCCTTACCACGGCCTTAGTTCTAGCTCTGGCGGCAGCCACGTACCCAGCTGTGGTGGCTGCCCTGTGTCCTTTCCATTGCTGGTGGCGTGTTCTGGACCAGTGAGCAGAGCATTCGCGGCCATGAGTGTCCTGGCCTTCATCAGTATTATAGAGGATCAGGTTAGAGGCCTCTGGCAGCTGCACTGAGTGTCTGCAATTTCCACCCCTCCTCCAGCAGGGCCCAGCTTCCTCCGCGGGGTCTCCCTGCCTGCTGCAGCCTGCATCACATGTCTGGCCACTTCCCAATGTCCCAGGGCGTTGCAGCCGGCAGCACTAGTCAGAGTTGTGCGGGGGGAGCCAGGGTTCCTGACTCAAACCAGTGGGTGTCAGCGGAGCTAGTACTGCCCAGCTGTCGGGTGGGTGCAGCGAGCCCGAGATGTGCTTGGGATGAGTGACCCTGCGCCTCTAGACTCCGACTGTTAACGGCCTGGAGAGGAACTCGAGACACCAGAAACGTGAGCCCACCCCTGTTGCTTGTACCCCACACACCACCCATTCATTCGGTTACATGGTGAAACACTCCACAGGCTTATGTACTGTGTTGGGAAAATGCTATGTTGTTGCTGTGTTCTCCAGATTATGGCTGAACGGAAGAATGCTAAATCTGTGGCTTGCAGCTCTTTACAAGAGCGAACAAATCTCACCCTTGATGTTCCCCTGCAAGGTACTGTATGTCAGAATTAACTTTTTATTATCGGCTAGATACACTCCCTCAATAATACTGTTTTTAACAAAAATCGACCTGAAAGGAAGGCTAATAGTGTCTTTTAGATAGTGAAAGTGATGATACTGCAAAATAGTTTTATTGGTGATGTTGACAGTAGCACAATTCTGCTCATTTATGGTAACTCGTTTTAGAGCAGATCCAAACCCTACCTGCATTCCAGCATCAGTGTGAGCTTCAAAGGCTGACAAGCAGGCAAACCTTCCAGTCAACTATCTGCTGCATCCTGCAGTATGGTTGTGTTTCTTTCTCTTAGCTTAATGGTTGATATGTTGAAAACAGTATAGGAGACTTACACCGAGTAAATAATGGAAGGTATATGTTTTAAATCCACTTGTAACTGCGAATGGTCATAAGTTGACCTTTTGCAACTCGGGGACCGGCTGTAGCCTTTTGGCTAAGGTACCCACTGAGGAGACCCAGGTTCCAGTCCCTGCTGCAGTGACTCTTTAAACATTTTATACAAAATGGAACTAGGGATGTTAATGGATAACTGGTTATCTGGTAAGTATCACCCTTAACTGGTGATGCTTACTGGGTAACAGTTAACTGGTACCTGGGCCACAGGCAGCGAGCAGGCTGCTGCATGCAGAAGTGGCAGCCCCACGCGGAAGTAACCCTGGAAGCAGCAGTGGCTTCTTCCAGCCCCTCGCATGACTGTTGCTTCCAGCCCATGCAAGCTGGGAGCAGCCCCTGTCCACAGCAGGGGAGTTGCTCCAGTGCAGCCAGACTGGTGTCCTCCCACCCACTCCCACCCCGCCCACCTCTGTTTTAATCAGCTAACTGGTTTAAACTAATTAAACAGGATTTTACATCCCTACATGGAACAGCTTCCACAAGATAAACTGTTGGGTTCAAATCCCTTCTCCTCTGTCAGAGCAGGGATTTGAACTGGGATCTCCCACATTCTGGGTGAGTGCTCTGACCGCTGGATCATATTGAGTAAAAGGGGGGAACGTTTGCTAATCATTTCCTTGAAAAAACACTAACCCGGCTTAGGTGCCTAACTCCAGGAAGGGGCTCATGGCTGTGAATCCAAAGTAGAAGTAAGTGCTTCCATCTAGCCCAGAGTTAGATGCCCAACTTCTATTGAGGCCAGGGGTGGGCAATAATTTTTGCTTGGGGGCCACTTCAAAAATGTTTGAAGTAGCCCTGGGCCACCCCAGAAGGGGTGGGGCCTAAACGGGAAGGGGCAGGGCTACCCCACTCCCATAACTGGTCTGGGGGGGATCCCCTTTGCCCCCTCTCCTACTAAGCACCCTTTCCCTGGAAGAGGCTTGGCACGTTCCTCTACCCTGTGAGGAGGCCGTGGCACTTTGAAGTGCCGCGGGCGCCTCGCAGGGCTGGGGCAGGACGAAGAGAGCTTCACGCAGCTCCCCCGCCCCCAAGCCCTGATTGGCCTGAGGGCAGGGGAGCACCCAAAGCCTTCTCCACTATGCCCCTGCTCTGTGAGCAGTGCACGGTGCTTTGAAGGGCCTCACGCTGCTCACAGGGTGGGGGCAGAGCAAAGAAGGCTTCAGGGGTGGGGGAACAGCAGGCCTTCAGCGGGCTGGATCCACTCGCTTGGCAGGCTGAATCTGGCCCACGGAGGCCCTTTTGCCCACCCCTCGGGTAGGCACTTAGGTTCTACCTCTCTCCTCATTATTTCCTGTTGGCTAGCTCAGACAGTTCTCTGTCAAGTGCACCGGCTGCAGTGAATCCTCTTCTTAGGACTTGTCTACACAGTGAATTAGTGGACAGCAAACTAGACTGCAAATTTAAAGGTGCCAGCTTGCCACGTAGTAGAATACCATGTGGATCTTGTTACAGCACAAAGACAGTCCCAAGGTGCAGCTTAGTGTTCTGCTGTTTGAAAGCATTCTGTGTAGACAATTTCACTTTCCCCATGCTTTGTATAGATAGTGTGGGCCACTAATTCAGGATTATGGGCTTTACTGGGTAGTAGGGTACCCAAGTTGGGAATTGCAACACAGAGCCAAAGTCCTCTTTGTGTGGATCTAGTCCTTAGAATCCAAATTTTACATGGCTGTGCTGAATACAAGACCAGTCCTGTATGTATGTTCATAGCTTAGAGATATATTCATGCAAGTTTTCTACATTTTCTTGCATCTTGGCAGTTTGAACACAATCCTATTTTTACTTTGCAAGAATTGGAAGTTGTATCATCTTCCCCCTTAATTCCCCTAGAAATCACTTACCATCTTCTCATGTGAGCTAGAGGGAGTGGAGATCTGTGTTAATAAATTTTCAGAGTAAAATTACTTTGTAAGCTATTTCTTCTGTCAGTGCAGTAAAAGTATATTTTACTTGGTTGTGAATCTTGATAAGCAGCCATTGATTTTTTTGGTTTGTTTGTTTCTTTTGTTCCCATGCAGTAGATTTCCCAACACCAAAGACAGAGCTGGTACAGAAGTTCCATGTGCAGTACTTAGGCATGTTACCTGTAGCTAAGCCTGTGGGTATGTAACACCATTGTTCTTAACTGATGTTGGAAGGTTCTTTTGTAAAATCTAAAAGGGCTAGATTCTGACTACATGTGCACAGGTAAAGAAAAGTGCAAGGAGCAACAACACTTTTTCCTCATGTTCCTGATGCAAAGGGGTCAGCACTATGCATCCAAATAGCAAGAGAAGGGGGCCATCTGTGGCCTTATTCAGGCTTCTGCTTCCTCAGCCAGAATGTTTTGGGAAAGCCGTTGAGACCGAGCCCTGTGCAGTGCCCTCTCTCAGGAGTAGCTATTGCAACTAAAATGTCAGAGGGGAGTTGTAAGAAGGGAGCTGTAAGTGCATAAGACTGGAGTGAGATGCCCCCTGAACAAGCAGCCATCCCAGTGTTTTAAGTTTCCTAAGAGGAGACTGAAATCTACCTTTAAGAAAAATGAAGGATAGCATGAGCTAGTCATTATTTTTTCTTAAACCTCCTCTCCATCAAAATGTTTGTAGCTAAGCAGTATAAAGCAACTAATTTCTGTGCTTCCAGGTGAAAATAATAGTTTCATCTAGGTTTTTTTACGTACTCATTTTATGCATTTTTTTTATCCCATTCTCCCTCCTTTTACATTTCAGGTATGGATACTCTGAACAGTGCCATAGAAAACCTTATGGCTTCCTCTAGCAAAGAGGAGTGGATGCCAGTTACCATGAACGTTGCTGATGCTACTGTGACAGTCATCAATGAAAGAGTAAGGCAGAAATAATGTGTTAACATAGTTTTTACCAGTGCAGTCTCAGACCCCAGCTGTAATAGAATTTTTGTTTGTACTAGAGTTTCTTTTGTTTCATTTTACATTTCCTTTTAGTACTATAAACTATATTCACCAGATCCTTTAGTAGAAATTTACATTTTCAAAATTTTACAATTCAACTCCTGATTTAATGTTAAAGCGGAGCATATCAAGGCTCTTACCAGTTGCTTCTATGAGATTGTTTTATTTGCTGCTTCAAAACATACCCTTAGAAATAACTCTAAATGTTTAATACATATAAAAAATAAGTACCAGCATTACCTTTTCCTAGTGTTTTTGAGACCCGAATACTTCAGGCCTAAGCCCTGGGCCAAGAGTCCTGAAGACTGAGATTTGTTATATCCTCCTCTGCAGTTTAGCAAAGGCAATGAATCTTGCAGTCTTTGTTTAATGCTGCTGCTTTATACAAAGTACTTTTCCAGAAGACCAGTAGAAGTTGGATCTCTCTTGTCCAGCGCCCTTGGGACCTGACCAGTCCCAGAGGAGGGAATTAGCTGGGCAAGGGGAGGTCTCCTGATTCCAGCCCCTCAGCCTGCTGCCTCTCCCATTGCCAGCTTCTTTAACATGGCTGGGGTGTCTGCAGGCCAGCCCCAGCCCTAGCTTTGTTGCTGGCCGGCCGGGAAGCTCCAGCCCCACTGATAAGTGGAATATTGTCTGATCGGGCTGCTGCACATGGCCCCAGCCCTGCTGATTCTGCCAGGCTGCTGTGGCCAGCTTCCCTTCTTGGGCTGCTACAGCTGAACCCCAGCACCACAATCAGGCTGCCGCCACTGTGGTCTGACCGGACTTCCCCTCTTGGGTTGTTGTAGTCCTGGCCGTGCTGCCAGGCAGCAGACAGCCCCAATCGCTTTCCTCCAAGGCTGCTGTGCCCCACTGCTAGTAGGCTGGCAGGGTTGCACCGGGCTCCCAGCTGCTGGTCTTCCTGGCGTGGGGCACTCTCATCCAGGAACATCCGTGGTTATGCCGGATCACGGATGCTGCTGGAGAGAATCCCGGATTTGGGAGGTGCAACCAATAGAATGACACTTAAAAAATAGATCTGTTTCACTTAGGGATGTGAAGGAATAGTTGACTAGTCGCTTCCCCCACCCGCTGGCTGCCTCTATCAGAAAAACCCTGGGCTCTATGCAGTGCTGCTGCTTTGAAACTCTGTGTGCAGCTTGGGACCAGCTGGGGTGTCCCCAGGCTGCACATGACATTTCAAAGTAGCAGCACCATGTGGAGGATGTCACTCAGTGCTAATGCTGTACAGATAGATTATAAGAATTGAGCAGTACTGCTACAGTTTCACCAGAGACTTTAGAAACATAAATGAAATATATGTAAGTTGTACAGAGTACATTTTAGTAATGAATGATCATTGCTTCATATCAGAATGAAGAACAAATCATGGTGGAATGTCGTGTTCGGTTCCTGTCCTTTATGGGAGTGGGCAAAGATATCCATACATTTGCCTTCATTATGGATGCAGGGAACCAGCATTTTGAGTGCCATGTTTTTTGGTGTGAACCAAATGCAGGCAATGTATCAGAAGCAGTTCAGGCTGCGTGTATGGTAAGAGATCTTCTGTGGCTGTAGTATTTAACTCTTGAACTCTCTCTATGAATAGTAATTCCAAATTTGCAAAATCTATTAAGTCCTTATAATATTTAAAGAAATGTAAAAACTGGTATCTTTAATGACAAATAAATCTTTGAGAATGTAAATAATGCTCCTGTAGCAACTTTACTTAGTTGGATGAAAGTGATCATAATATAATGGATTACACAATCCTAGGGAAAGGAAGCAGAGAGAGCAGCAGAATAAGGATAATGGACTTCAAAAAGGTAGATTCAGAACTCGTAGGTGGGTTCCCATGAGAAGAAAGTTTAAGGGGAAAAGGAGTTCAGAAGAGCAGAATCTCAAAGACACAATATTCAAGGCACAACAATACATCCAATATTTAAGGTACAACAATATTCCTTTCCTCAGCGTGCAGGAAAGAGAGCAAGAATAGTAAAAGGACAATACAGCTCTATCAGGTGCTCTTTAATTACACAAAATGCAAAAAGGAATCCTATAAAAATTGAAAACACGAATCATAGAACACTAGAACTGGAAGGGACCTCGGGAGGTAATCGAGTCCAGTCCCCTGCCCTCATGGCAGGACCAAATACTGTCCAGATCAGGGGTCAACAGCCTTTCAGAAGTGGCGTGCTGAGATTTAATGTATTCGCTTCTATTTACAGGTCTGTGTGCCGTTGATACTTTTAAAAGTCAATAATAGTCTTTCTCCCACCTACCCCTGTGCAGTCTGCTCCCACCCCAGCTCAGGTGGGGGCTAGGATAAAATCCAGCTTCTCAAATCCTGCAGTTTGTCCTGTCCTAACTCCCAGCTAAAGCACAAATTATCCACACCTCCCAGCACAAACTACCTCACTGTCTCCACCTCAACCAAACCCCCTCCAATGACCCTCAACCCTCTCTTTCCCCCACCTACCCCATGTAGTCTGCCCCTGACCTCCCCCTTCCCAGTAGGCTTGAGAGTGCAGGGGAGAGAGGCAGAAATTCAGCGCAAGAGATTCTCCAAACTCCCCTCCCCTCTGACTACTCCTCCCAAATACCCACTTGCTCACTCCTCCTCTCTTTGCCTAGACACTTATTCTCTCCTTATCTTGCTTTTTATCATCTGCTCTGGGAACTGCTCCGTTTCAAGCACAGAGCAGCTGTTTAGCTGTTTGCTCAGCAAGACAATGTCCCATCCCCCACCGATCAGTTGAGGTCCCTGCCTGCAGGGCAGAGAGAGAGCTTTGAACTTCTGAGCAGAGCTCAGAAAACAGCTGCACGGATGCGCCTTTAGAGGAAGCTATGGTCCCCTGCCACTGCCCCCCCC